GACCCGTCAGATATACACATCCATAAACAGGTTTGTAAATGCACCAATGCCTCAATTAAAGAATAATCAGTGATCAGAGAATCTGATTGGACTGCTTCCATCTGCTGCTATTCATTAATGAATATCTAAATCAGGAACACGTTTGTTTTCTTTTGCACCAGGTGTGTGAGATCATTGAGAGCCCCCTCTTCCTCAAACTCAACCCGATGACCAAACACACCGACGTAAGTTCATCTGCCTTTAAAAGTCAGAATCAGCTGTAAGGTGAAGGAGTTTCATTTTGATTCCTGCTGTCATCTTCTCTCCTCCAGCTTCCTGTTAGTGTTTATGAATCAGTGATAGACATCATCAGTGGAGAGGTGAGATTGTAACGCAGCCTCAGATGGTTTATTTCCCTTCTGCAAAAACCTGGTAACTTATTGAGTTTTTCATCAGGCCACCATGTTGTTTGCTGAGCTGACTTACACCTTAGCCACAGAGGAAGCAGAGAGGATCGGTGTCGACCATGTGGCTCGAATGACAGCCACCGGAACTGGAGAAAACTCCACTGGTAATTCTGTTTTCTGTTAAAAGGTTTTTTTTCTATTTAAACAAAAGCAGTTGAATGCAAAACAGAACTGTGAATATTTGGTTACATCTGATCTGTGGTGACCTGCAGTCTGGTTACCTTTTTAAATTAGTAGCAGAGGAAGCAAACAAGCTAAAATCAGGCAGATTTGAAGTCTGTTTTTTAGTAACGCTAATCTTTTTTTTTTCCTACAGCACAGAATATATGAACCATTATCTTTCATCATGTCATATGTTCTGACACTGATTGGTCTGTGTTTCTTCTGTTAGTGGCTGAACACCTTATCGCCCAGCACAGCGCTATAAAGATGCTCCACAGCCGAGTAAAGATCATTTTAGAGTACGTCAAAGCCGTCGAAGCAGGTAAACAAGCTTATTTATAAGGGAACAGGGAGGAAAATATGTAGAAATCAATGTTTGAAGGAGCTGCAAAGATTTATTATCCTTTTTGTTTCTTTCTAACACGCCTCCATAATAACGAGTTCCACTTTGAGAAGATCTCAATTCTTTATCATATTTGATACATGAGGTTTTGAGAGCTCTGCATCATCAGTGGGACATTTTTTATCAGACATACACAATCAGACACATGTCATGAAGAGACAATGAAAAAAATCTGATAAAAAAATAACTTGTATCTCAAAATTGATGCAAATATATCATCATTTTTTATTTATTTCCTTTGTCAGTAAGTTAAATTTTATAAAAATTCAAAAAAATAAATATTTTCGAATTTTTTGAAAAGGAGACTTGTCAATTATTTCCCGGTCTAGGCTTTAAAGGGTTAAAAGCATCCCTGAATCTCTGTTTTTTTTTTCTCTGTGTCACAGGAGAGGTGCCGTTCAACCATGAGATCCTGCGAGAAGCAAACGCCCTTTGCCACAGACTGCCAGTCCTTAGCACCATTAAATTCAAAACCGACTTCTATGATGTGAGTTAATCATTTATTTTCATTTTCAGTTTAAATTTGGAACAAAGATGCTCCCTTTAGTGTTTACCTGATGCACACATGAACATGTCCATAGGATCAGAGACCAGAGATGCCCTCATTTCCCTGCTGTTGTTTTCATAACGCTATTTTTAACCACCAGCGGTGCTTGTGAACGCTCCTCACGCTAATCTATAGATACCTGTAATCGGAGCAGAGTTAAAGCTTTAAGAGGAAGATTTATTAAGACCAGCTGGTTATTTTAAAATGCCAACATTTTAAAGAACTGAGTCAGGATTTGGGGTTTAAAGATTCGTCTGGAAATAACAGCTGGTTATCACAGTTACCTGCCTAAACTTTGAAACCGTGTAAAAATTAGAGACCGTCAGAGCGATTGTGATGCTAGAATGACATTTCACCATTAGTGAAGAATTTTTGCTTTCATGGTCACTATACTGTCACAAGAGTAACGAAATGAGCTCTCTGCATTTAACCCATCCACCTGGGGAGCAGTGTAGGGTTAAGGGTCTTGCTCAGGGAGCCAGAGTGGGAGTGGGGCTCGAACTCAGAACCTCAGGATTCGAAGCTCTATACCCTAACTACTAGGCCGCCACTCCCCTAAAGGTTTGCTCCTCCTCTCCAGTAGGAAACTTATTGTGGGTTAGCGGCGGATTTTGGGCTCTGAACTACAAATTCCCTCAGTAGAAACACAATAAAACGGTGGGAAATAATGTAAAATCCGTGTAGATATCTCTTATTTTGGTAAATTTTGCTATCCGCAACAAATATCACAAATACAATAATCTTTCAAAAGCAATGTGTGCATCATTTACAGTACCATTGAAAAGTTTGGGGTCACATTGAAATGTCCTTATTTTTTAAGGAAAAGCACTGGATTTTCTAATTTCTTGCATCACAGATTTTTGAATAGGAGTCATTGATGTCAGGTCAGAACATCATCTTCATCTTTGTTTTAACAAAATGACAAAAAGTGTTAAAACACCAAAATCTGAGCTCCATCCACCACACTGCAACTCATGAACATTTTGTCTTACCTATAAAAAAAAAAGTTTTTACTGGACTATAATATGCAGGTTTTCCTCTATCTCTATTTAAAGATATCCATGGAGATAAATAATCAGATCAGCATACTTCCTATATTACTGCCAAAAAGGAAACTGGTTTCTAAATTTAATTATTACATTTTATATATAAAGAAGAAAATACAGATAAATATTATTACAGATTATAACTATAATTCCAGTGAATTCTATTATTTTATCAGCAGTCTGAATAATGAATACTCAGTGTGAGGTCTAGTTTATATAAAATAATAATTTTCAGTTGCCAAAGTAAGTCAATAAAAACAACATTGAGACACAAAGGGTCATTATATCATTAGATATGTTAAAGATATCTTAGTGAAGGGCTAAATTAACATTTATGTCAGAAATATGTTAATGGTTTGTATAGAAAGTTTCTAGCTTAATATAACAACATTTAAGGTTTTATGTAACAGTAGGAACTCATCAGAGCCCTGTTAGTGTTTTATGTAAAGAAATATGAGCATATTGTTCAGATGAGCATTTCCTTTTGCCATTTCCCTCTTTCTAAAACAGTTTTCTACTGAACCTCTGTGTGTTTCCTGCAGCAATGTAACGATGTGGGCCTCATGGCCTACTTAGGCACCATCACCAAGACCTGCAACAGTATGAACCAGTTCATCAACAAGTTCAACGTTCTGTACGACAGGCAGGGCATCGGCCGGAGGATGAGAGGACTCTTCTTTTGAGCTGACGAAGCGATGGGGGAGGGGGGCTAACGCACTATTTTTTGTTCTCTGTTTGTGATCTGATCAGATAAAAAAAAAAAAGAAAAGATTTCATTTCAGTTTATCTTCAACCACAACCCTTTCTAAGGAGCATTCGGCCACACAAATCAGTTTAAAGCCTCTCTGGTCTCCTGGCAGCAGAGATCACTGAGCACGGACGTTACTTTACCCACTTTGTTTTATTGTTTCATGTTTCTGTAAGTAATAAATGCTTTTTTTTCATGGAATTTTTGAGTGTCGTCTCTTGTTTTTTTTTAACAGGAACTAATTATAGTTATTATAAAGACCGTTGAGTGAGCTGCAGGTTTATTATCAGGGTAAACCTTTACAGTCAGCTGGTGTATTTCTGAAGTAGCGTTCCTGCTGTGTGACCGCCTGCAGAGGTCTGAGGCAGACAGGTATACGTGGCAGAACAGGAAGCCTCGTAGAGCTGCAGAGTTTGGTAGATAACCTGAGTAAGCGTTTGTTTGGGTATTAAATGCACAGCAGAAACCAACATAATGACCCCTCCTCCTGTGTTGGTCGTTTACAAGGTTTGTTTTTAGCTGCCATGTGGCTCTGGGAGGAGCAAACCTTTTCTCTGCATCATCTTGCACCTTTTTAAAAGTCCTAATACAACCCATTAACTGATGAAAACAACGTTTCTCTCTTTTTATTGCCTCATTACTCAAACATTGGCTGAAAACTGCTCTTTTTTTTTACATTGTGAAGATAAATACAGTAAGTTTTTATCACAGCAACTCAATTCTCTTTTTGCACATTTCTGCGACATTAGATGAAGGTTTCAGTCAAAGTTCATGGAAGGCACTTGAATGACCCCTCATTTGTTCTCCTCAGCGGGCTCGTCGGCAGCATCATCAGGCTGTGGGTACTGGAAGCGGGCCGGGTCGTACAGGTCGTCCCTGGGGTCGTAGGAGTGGGGGTGGTAGTAAGGGTACGGGTAGAAGCCGTGTTTCTTCTCTTTGGACGGAGGAGGTGCCGGTTCTTCTACGTGTTCCTCCTCTGCTTCTTCCTCTTCGGGTGGGGGAGGTGGTGGTGGTGGGGGACCCATAATCTTCCCCTTGATGGGTCTTGGAGGATTGTCAATAAGGCAGTCGGGGTCCCAGTAGGGGTCACAGTCGTACTCCATACCCTTGAAGACGCGGATGGGTGCCGGAGGGGGAGACTTCTTGACCAGAACCGGTGGAGGCATGGGAGCCTTCTTTGGATGAGGGTGCTTATGGACCATCAGAGGGGGCGGTGGGGCTTTCTGGGGGGTACAGTGAGGATGATAACGAGGGTCGCATAGCACCGGAACAGCCCCGGAAGGCAGGTAGACGATGTGTGGCTTGCAGAGGGGGTCCTTGCTGTTGCACAGGAAAAGAACGTCCGCCTGAGAAATGGCCGGAGGGTGAGGAAGAGAAGGAGGGGTTTCTGGTTGATCCGTGGGCTTTGGGATTCCTTTCATTGGAGGAGGAGGAGGTGGAGGAGCATACTTGCACCTTTTATCTGTGACTGGGTCGCACATGATCATTGGTACACCCAGTTTGCTCTGGAAATAAGAAGCATTGGGGCCATATGTATGCTCCAGGTACCTCATCTGCTGGTAGAGCATCCGGAGTTTGTCGATCTCATAGAGCTGCAAGGAGAGAGAGAAAATCAGTGCTGTGTTCCCCGTTCTACATACAACCTACCTCCACTTACAGAAAACTTTAAACTACTCAAGAAATATACAGACCAAAAACATGACCTACATCTAATCTAAGCTGTGAATTTAATCTGTGAAAACAGATTTAGGTCAATAAAGCAGCCTCTCACCCCCTCAGTGTGTCCGATGCTGCTGTAGTATCTGTAGTACGCCTGAAAGTCTGGGTTTCCTCTGTACCACCTGGGGTCCGCATTACGCCTTGGCCTTGAGTGAGACAGGAAGTCGTTGGCTTTCTCAGAGCGAATGCTCACATCGCTCAAAGGCACCATCCCTGTTAGAAAAAAATATAAAAACCACCATTTAAAAAAAAAAAAAAAATGAATAAAAAGCTGTTTTATGATATTAGAATCTCTTTTTTTTACCTTCCTGTTTGATGGCCCCCAGCAAAGATTTGGCATCTATCAGGCCTACAAAAGGAATTAGATTTATCTGTGATAAATGGTTTCCAACCAAAACTACAAAGAGAAGAGAAGAATAACAGACCTGAGAGAAGAAGAAGACAGCATAGTGGCCCCAGCGAGCCATGTGAAGAAATCATGTTGAACCTGCAAAAAAAAAAAAAAAAAAAAAAAAAAATTATAAGGGGAAAAAAATTATTGATGAACATGCAATTTACACAGACATTTTTAATCCAATGGTCCAGATATTGTATTATTTGTATTTAACATAAAAACCCTTAATTGATACCAAACCTTAGAAAAACAGATTAAATACTATTTTTATTTTCATTCAACTTTATTTAATCAGGAAAAAAATACCATTAAGATTAAAAACCTCTTTTTCAAGGGAGTCCTGGCCAAGAGCCAGTAAAGTTACATACAGAACTGAAATGAATTAAATTAAATACATAAAGAAGCACATCAAGTAAAACAATGACAGACAACTGAAGGCGTTCCAAATTCTTTCATTTTCAACTTAAAAGCATATAAGGATAAAATCTCAGCCAACTTCCAGTCTGTAAAAAAAATCCACACAAGGAGCTGGGTATACGAAGGCTGTCTTCCCTAGATCTGTGCAGGATAAAGAAACAGTGAGCAACAGCTTATTGTTGGAGATCAGGGCATAAGAGACCATGCTTTTCTATATAATGGATTTTTTTCTAATTAATATTACTTCAAAAAGATTCCTTATAGAGAAGCTTTATGAATTAAACCAAAAACATGAACATGTTTCACTTACCAGGCAAGGTCGCTGTCTTCACTGAACCAGCAGAACCCACTGAGCTAAATATCTAACCCCTCTGTCATCCATTCTGTAACTTTATCCTCTGTCCAATTAGATTTCCCCTGACTTTCAAACCAAAATCCTTTCTCCTCCTCTTTCTCTTCATTCTAGATATTGTTTAAAGTGAAGCCCTGCGGCACCAATTAGGAATAAAAAGCCTCTGGACCAAAGCCATAAAGAACAAGACTTCAAATGGAAACTCCCCATTAGGTCTGGAAGGAAATCATCACCTGCTGGGAGCAGCTACATACAATCATAGTGAAAATGCTGTCTACTGAAAGTGTGCCTCAGCAGAAAAAAAAAAAAAAAGCTGTAAAAAAAGAAGCACAGATCAAAACCATAAACATATATTTATAGGATTTCCAGGTTTTCCGAACATGGTTGGTTCTTAAAAGTAGTTATTTTAGCTTTAAGAACACCTGTTTTTCTAGCTGCTGTGGGACAAGATGGCTATCAAAACAGCTGCATTTCCCAATTTTGTCCCTGCATGTTCTATGATACATTTAAAGTACTAATTATACAGCGTTCCTGTACATAGCTGTCATTCCAAGCATAAAAACAGACTTTTTTTGCACAGTTTTCACACCATGAACAAAAGACACATACCCATGCAGAAACCTGGTAAATAAATTGAATAGTACAACATAGACTCAGATTAAGTGGTGGAGCCAGCAATCTAAAGAAAGAAGTGGCTGAAAATGGATAGGCGTCACAAGTTCAAAGTCAATCTATATCATAAAATGAACAAGCATGTCGAACTTTCCAAATGAAGTTGAGTACATATTTCTAATGCCTTTGGTAAGAAATATGCATACTACGGTAAGTTAAAGCGGGTGAAATAAGTATTAAACAGCACCATTTTTTTCTGCTCTAGAGGTGCTATTGGCAGGACATTTTCACCAGGTGTCTGCAACAATCCATGCAACCAACACATACAAAGAAATCAAACCATAGTTGTCCAGAAATTAAGCTGTGTAATAAAGTGAAATAGCGCAGGGAAAAAGTTTTGAACACGTGAAGATAAGAAGGTGCTGTAAGGCATGGAAACCAAGACACCAGCTGAAATCTCAAGAATTAAAAAGCAATCCTGCGCCTTGTCAGTGCAAACTTCTATTAGCTGTTTCAGTCCCAATTGATGGCCTATATGATGTCTCTGGTATCAGAAACATCTCATGATAGATAAAAGGAAAGAGCTTTCTCAAGACCATTGCAACCATATTGCTGCAAATAATGGCATTGGTTACAGAATGATTTCTTAACTTCTGAATGTAAGCACTATTGAGGCCATAAGTCTAAAGAGGAAAGAACATCATTCACCATAAACCCACCATGACCAGGTGCTTCTCACAAGATATCTGACAGAGTGGTGAAAAAACTTATCAGAAGAGGTTTCCAAAAGCCAAATATCACCTTTGGAGAGCTTCAGAAATACCGGGAATTAGCAGGTACAATAGTTTCAAAGAAAACAGTAAGTAAAACCACCATGGCCTGTATGCATGCTCACCACACACGACTCTTTTGCTGAACAAAAAGCATGTTTAAGCTTGTTTTCGGTTTGCTGCACAAAATTTGTGAAATGCTGGGAGAATGCTCTTTGGATCTCTTAATGGACATGATGTTTGGAGGTCAAATGGCACTGCACATCAGCCCAAATACAGAGAAGCTTGGAGGTAAGAACATCATGGCGTGGGGCTGTTTTTCAGCATAGGGTATAGGCAAACTTCAAATAATTGAACGATGGATGAATGGATAAATGCACAGAGACATTCTTGATAAAAAATCTGCTGCCATCTTGCAGGATGATGAACATGAAACGTGGGCAGACATTTTGGCAAGACAAAGACCCCAAACACACATCCAAGGATACTCTTAATTGGTTTCAGAGAAAGAAAATAAAGCTTCTAGAATGCCAATCGCCTGACTTGAATCCAATAGAAAATCTATGGAAAGAACTCAAGATCTGAGTTCATAGAAGCCCATGAAACCTTCAAGATTTGATGACTGTGTGGAAGAATGGGCCAAAAATCACACCTGAGCAATGTATGTGACTAATTTCTCCATAGAGGAGGCATCTTGAAGCTGTCATTGCTTACTTTGTTTAAAGAAAGAAATACATTTTAGTGTGTTTAAT